CCTCCTGAGTAGCTGGGATTACAAGCACGTGTCACCATGCCCAATTTTTATGGTCCAGTATGTCCCAGACAGCCAAATTATTTTCACCCTCCCTCCTCAGGGTTCTGTAAGTCATGTTTTCTGGAAGCATGGAAGAACCAAAAAGGATGCCAGAGGAGCAAGATAGTGTCAGGGCTCCAAGTCACAACTCTTACTAGCTGTCTGAATTTCCTTTCACCTGCTTGAACCTTAGTTTCTCCTCAGTAGAATGGGATGTTTATAATACTGGGAAAGAGAAGCTCCAGACTCCCCTTTTCCAAGCCAGCAGGAAAGGGGTACAGTTCGCCCTAAGCTTCCATGCCCTGCCCATTACCTCAACCTCCTTTCCCCCAGGACTACAACAGGCTGGCACAACTTGCTCCAGGGTCCTCTTCAGTTATTTAGCAGCCACTGTCCTTCCAGACACTCTGACAGGAGGTGCGGGTTTGGCGGTCAGCCACAGTACCCTTCCTCTACACTGCCACTCCAGAGGCTGACATCCATTTCTTGTATGGGGAAGGGGACACCCTGACCTGGCCAAGATTAGGGAGAAAGGGATCTAGGTCCACTAGTAACATACCCAACCTTGTGGCACAAGTCTGTAATCACAGCCCTGGGGAGGCTGAGGCAGGAGGACTGCTGAGTTCAAGGCCAGCCAGAGCTACATAGTGAGTTCACTACCACCTTGGACTACACAGCAAAACCTTGTATCAAAAGGTGAAAAATAAAATAAATCTAAAACATACTTAAGGGCTGGAGAGATGGCTCAGTGGTCTAAAGCACCTACTTAGAACAAGCTTGGCAAGGCATCAGGGACGCGGTTCAATCCCCCAGCACCACATAAATAAAAATAAAAAAATAAATTAAAAAATTAAAAAAAAATTAAAACATACTTAATCTCCCCAAATCCCAGTAAACCGTGATGAATACAGCTATCCCTCCTTAAGATTCTTTAGTTTTGACCTGCCATTCTGAAGATCCTGTAGACCTATCCAGAGTAGCGTGACAGGATGGTTGCTTTAAAAGAAAGAGGAATAAGAAGTACAGGAATTTGAGAGACCAGCAGCCAACAAAGAGCAGCAACCAGCAGAGTTAACTGGTGGCATCCAGCACAAGCTGGCATCAAACAATGGTGGCTGGCAGTGGCAGAGGCCAGCAGCTGGCAGTATTGATTGTTGCCACCCAGCATTGACTGATGTTGCCCCGCAGCATCAAGAGCTACACTTGCCCCTTCTGGATTTTTATCTGAATTCAGCAAAAGACTCCTCAAAAAAATCAAAATCAGTGACAATAAAATCTGTGGCAGCAAAGCTTGTTTTTTTTTTTTAATGATTTGGTACAAGGTCTCACTATGCAGCTCAGACTCATAGTGATCCTCCTGTTTTTAGCCTCCCCAGCCTAGTATTACAGGCGTGTGTGCCCTTATGCTCGGGCTTGGTGGCCAGCTCAGTGTGCCCCAGGATGGGGGCCAGAGCAGCATGTGGTGCCAGGGATCTAACTTGCCTAAGCAGGCACTTAGTCTGATGAGCTATCTCACCAGTCCTAGCGAAGCTTCTGTCTGTCTCTGTGTGTCTGTGTGTTTGTGTGTCTGTCTCTCTCTCTTTCTCTCTCTTTTATTGGATATAGTATGGTCTCACTATGCAGTTCAGTAAACCTCCCCAGCCCTGGGATTACAGGGCTGTGCCACCACGCTGTTTCAGGGCTTCACAGGGTACCCGGGGTTCCCGGACAAGTGCCACATGCAGTAC